ATTGTAATTGTAACAGAAGGAACTGTGCAAAAGTCTGTTGTACTTAACACACTCCCCCTCAAAATAAGTATGAATAAAAAATAGAGAATTCAACATTTATTTTGGCAGCTCTTTTTTTTTTTTGGTGGGGATAGGGGGGATGTTGACATTCATTCATTTTGGCATCTTCACACACAGAAACTGTGCTGGGGAAACTTAGTAAGGGAAAAATCAGGGTCAATTGCAAAATGGCACTAATGTTCCCTCAATAAAACATCAAGGCATACTTGATCTTTGTTCCTATTTGCCCCATGGCCAACTCTGTCAATTTCCTCAAGAGTATTGCAGCATCAAAAAAGGAAAAAATTCAGAAAATTTAACTGTAGCATGAGTATAATCAAGAGAGCAACCATTATTATCTTCATCAGAGCTTTATCCCAACTAAGCAAGAGAGCAACCTTCTGAAATTCATTACGTAACAGAACTCATCAATGATATTCACATCTCTATCACATAATAGAAGAAAATTACCAGCAAAGGCATATTGTGCTCAATCATTTTCTCAAGAACAGGCATGCATTTACCAAAGAGGTCAGTCACGCCACCTTGAGAATTTGTAGTGGCTCCAGCAGGATACAACTTCACAGCAAAGACGATCCCACTCTCCCCTGCCAAATCAAGCCGCTACATTCAGCGACATTTCTAGAAGTTTGGTTCCAATTTCACTAAATAACTATCATTTGAAATAAATGCAAACAAATATGGCCATTTGGTTAAACATCTAGGACTGATACATAACATTTAAATGACATTAGTATGATATAGGAGGGATCAAATGATGAGAACGAAGCACGCTCTGAGCTGTACTTTCTAAATTTGACCCGCAGTAGTGCTGTTGAAACCTGGCTCTCAACGTCACAGATTAATTTTAACAATTTCAGATTGGGCTCGGTAGAATTCAGTTAAAGCAAGGAAGTTTGCTTCGCTGTGATTCTTGCAACTTTCTCCAATATTAACAAGTGATACCCATAGTTGCTGGAACCTCTAGGCAAGGTCAAAGACCTGCTCCAGAACCTTGATCCGATGATTCCAGCTAGGGATCTTGGATGGAACGTGGATCCCTATATTTTTTTTTAGAATGTTAACTGATATATATATATAAGTATACGGTCACTGAGTACAATGAACTTGAAAGTAGAGAGAAGAATGGGGGGAGAGTGACTATTCGTACTTGGATAGCTCAGAGTACAAAGATCCCTTCTAAAATAGATGGGAGGGAGAGGAGAGAATCCAAAAGCCTTCTTTTTTAATGTTACAATGAAAAAGTTAGAGCAACCAAGAACGTGGATCCCTATATTGTGATCCTCTTTCCCAGCAGGTTTGAACCACAGTTCTAAAGTGTATGATGCAGTGCATATGATGTTTTCTCTATTTGGCACTTATTCATAAGCACTTATTCAGGTTTGTGCCCTATGATACTGTGAACCCACACATCATCCATGATCCCTTAAAACTAACTATTGAGATCCTACCTCATGGAATCGCACTTCCCTCTGACAAGGAAGGTGCTCCCTTGACATAGGATTGTACGGGCGACCATCCTAACCACAAGGAGCTTCCAACAATCCACGGTTCTACGAACCCAAGCCAGCTCCCGTTCCCGAGAGCTTACCTGCACCCGACAACTATGTGCTAACCCTATTAATGCAGATATCCTTCAATTCAAATGATACAAACATTATGGCTGTTCAACATCTTGTACAGTGTTTCAAAAAGCACTAGACGGCACCTAGGCAGTCGGGGGGGTCCAAGCTGCCCAGCGCTTAGGCGGCTGCCTAGGTGGGCGCCCAAAACCTAGACAGCCCAGTAGAAAAATTTTCCTTTTTTGGGGTTTTCTCTCTCTAAAATAGCCTCTAATGGGTTTTAAGTTTCAAATGAACCTAAAACCCACAATTTTGCCCCTTTAGAATTAAAAAAAGACTTAAAAATACCCTCAAGGAGCCACATTTCCGCCATTGGGTGGGGCATAGGCCTTAGACAGGTTCAGGCAGGTGCCTAGGTGGGCACCCAGGGATATCTGCCTAATTTGGCGGCCCAGGCCTTCTGGATTGCCTCGGCGGCCGCCCAGGAGCTGGGTGGTCCGCTTTTTAAAACACTGATCTTGTATCTGGAAGAGATTTTGGCTAGCAAATAGCTGGGACAGCTACTAAGTGACAAAGCAATTTGTCAGATTACTGTACATTGATAAGAATGGGATCAGGATGATGCCAAGATATAGACTAGATTATTGGCTCTAAATAAGTTGAAAGATCCTGGGCCACAATTGTATGGTTATACAAGCTGAAAACTACCAAAGAATGACTATGCAAGGTCATCACATTGTTTTCTTTTTTTTTTTTTTTGGGTGTTGGGGGGGGCAGTTAAGCCCCAAAAAAAAAAATAGAAAGAAGAAACAACCATTATGACGATCATTGAATGATTATTATCAAGAATCACATCAGATTTGGGATGAACAAGATTTTAAAGAACTCTAGGAATTTCAAGCGAGGATTTTTGGGGCGTTCTGACGTAGAACTAGACCAATACACATGCTATTAAGACCGTAACCAAAGTAGAAGTGCACGTCTGAGTATCAATGTCTCTGTATCTTTGAGTCTATAATGTATGTCCATATGTAGGTATAATTATGTATACATGAAAGCATGTATTCATTTATTTTTTTCTTTTGATAGGTCAGCAGTAGGACTTGAAGTCTTGAACAGAAGTAGTGTTGCAATCATCAATACCTTAACAAATCAAGCCCAAGCCTGACATACACGCATGTGAGTATGTACAAATGTATATATGCATGGATGTATGTATTCATATGGCCTTATTTCCCCTCAATTTTGTTCAAAACACATGTACAGTTGCAATTTCAGGGCTTCAAACACCAACGTTAATTCAATTTTCACAACAGTCGAGCCATTGTTTTTTCACTGGAAGTGGCGACAAAGAATAGCTAAATTACCATGCAATTGTTAGGAACTAACACATTCAACAGTTCAATGAGAAAACTTCTGATCATCAGATACATAAACTATATCTACTACTAAATATAGCACAATTAAGTTGGAATTTAACTTACTGGCCAGCTTGATCTCATCAGGCTTTGTGCTATCTGTCAGGTAAAGAGTCATAAGGGGTTCAAAATTACATCTTGAGGGAAGTGCTTTTACTATGGTTTCTCGATAAGCAACAGCAGCAGCTGTAGTAGTGACTGGGGGTTTCAGATTTGGCATCACAATTGCCCTCCCAAACTGGTTTGCACTGTAGTAAAAGGAACTTCATTTAGAGAAAGAAACAACCACTTTGTGTTTGGTTATTTAGCTTTCTTTTTTGAAAGCAATGTTAAACAAGTTAACTTATTTAGCATTGCAATGAGCATACACTAAAGTCTCTGTATTAGTCAACAGAGATTACTTACCACAAGTTCACAATGAATAATATGCTCGCTAAAGGAAAACCTACCTATGAGGGAGAACAGCCTCCAATAGGCCACCATCACGAAGGTGTAGATGCCAATCATCTGGTCTTGTCAAAGTGAGCTCCATCTTTGATACTATGCTCTTTCTTGGACCAAAGTTTGTGCCTTTAACCTTGCCTAATGCACATTGTGATGCCTGGAATTGAATACATTATTACTCCCTGTTTTCATGCATGCAAAACAAATAAATTCCACGCAACAAACTCTAAATGGGGTTTAAAAAGAAATTGGAATTTCTAATAATAGTAGAGACAGAAACCTTGCAAGGGGAAACTGCGGCATTCATCATTTTGGACCCCTATCAACAAACTGCTGCTTCTCCTTGATTATGTTCAATATTTATCTGTTCACATGTACCCCAGATATGTGTGACCACTTACAACAGGACTTTCCATCAACACGATAACATTATAGTAATTGCTCCCAAACACACCCATTTAACCACAAACATATGTACATGTTAACCTATGTATCTGTTCACATGTACCCCAGATATGTGTGACTGACCACATACAACAGGACTTGCCATCAAGATATTAACATTATAGCAATTGCTCCAAACCCACCCATTTAACCAAAAAAATAGAAAACATATGTATCCCAATAGTAATTGCTCCAAACCCACCCATTTAACCCAAAAAAAAGAGAAGAACTATGTATCCCAAACGTTGCCTGAAAGAATGAACTCCCTGCAAATTCAATATTCAAAAGAATACCTTTTCACATGAGAGAAGAAATATAGATGAAACCATGACAACCAAGTATCATAGTTCATAGAATAAACACCACATTCTATCACGAAGCAAGCGGTCCAAGGAATACAAAGACAAGAAATTGCCATTTAGGCCAGGATAGGTACATGTGTTTTGCCAACATCAATAAAGGAAACCCCAAAATTATGCCAGGCTAAGCGATGCCCCTATTATAGATTATGAGCCAATAATAAAAACATTCTCACCGTCAACCTTCCTAACTAATTCTTATGGGGGTTTGGTGTCATAATTTAGAGATTATGGGAATGCGAGAATGCCAATTGAAAACCCTTCACCTAACTAAAAACTCAATTGTCCACCTTGCCAACATCATTAAAAGAAACCCAAGAAGAAACGCAGCAAGAAACGGTAAAATTGAAAATGAAAAAAATAGTTTCTGCAAACTGTATAAGAAGGACAACACAAGTATTATCAGATTACAATGCAATATGAAATTTATACTGATTTTCAAATGTATCATTTAAAGGCTGCTAGTACATTCTATAAGCAACATAAGGGGTTTCGAATTTCAGAATAACATATCAAGCTTTAACTTTTATCAACCCATCACATAGTACTGATGAGCATAACACATTTCGGTAAACAGCAAGTAGAAACAACTCCAAATCAATATTGCCAACTTGCTGTGAAATCCAAAATGAAATCACTTATTGGATTATTTTATAGAAATGGCTGGTGAAATCAATTATACTTTAAGGACAAAGAAATAAACCAGCAAAAGATGAGAACCATCACAAAACACTATAAACTTATCAATTAAGCGGGGATGGGGCTGTACAAAGACAATCATCTTCGTGAAGCATAATAGAACTTATCAGCTATGAACACACAAAAACCTATCAACTCTAATACACCTGCACAGAAGACAATCATCTTTGTGCAACACAACAAAACTTATCACTTAAACCTCTCTTCACATGATTAAGGGCTGATTACATACAAAACAAATCAACATCGTCAAAGCTCGAGTAACTCATTGGCTTATTCTTTGCATCTATGAATTTGCCTCAAATACAAAACAAGGATAAGTCATTCACACATGAAGCCACAACATCATGCTGCACAGCACAATGGCCCATGGCATACTCCAAGTTTAGCAGGAGAAATTGGAGGAGGAGCAAGTTTGGCAGAGAAAAGGTTGCTCACTTTAACTTCCCTATTGAGGAAATTAGATATCATTAAAACCGTAAGGAACTATAATAAATCTCCACTTGCATGCTCCAACTGACACCACAAACTAGAATGGATTGACATGGCTCGTGTTTTTAACTGGTATGATCATTTTGAATGGGAACCAATAAGTTTGCTTTGTGAAAGTCGGCAGCTTTTCTCTCACTAGTTCCACTTTCAGTTGCATCGAGAAGACTCTGCTGCCCAACAATGAAGGAATCATCAGCACTACCAATACTCGAGAGATTCCTATTAAGAGAGTCCATTGGTGCCATAATTCTTTCCAAATACCAAATACTGCTCACTGTACATAGCCCCCTTACTGCCAGTGAATCAGAAACAGGCAGATAAACGAGAACACAAATGCCAGCCACCAATAAGAAAAGCATTGCTATGAATGCAAACATCACAAGAACTTCAAATAAACCAAGCCCTAGCAAAGAATAACCTGAAAGCACAAGAAGAGCAACTCTCAAAGGAAGCAACCCCACAACTGAGAATACCAAGAAACGAACTCTCTTTTGGAGGCCCTTATTGATGGCCAGTGAAATCACTCTCACTCCTATATGCACAAAATAGCAGATGAACAAGAAATCAAACACCCCAAGTACAACTGTGGCAGACAGAGGATAGATACAACTCACGATGTTCCCTTCCTTCAGATATGGCTTTGTAAAGTATTTACAAGCTTTTGCTCCAATATTTCCACTATCATCTCCCAAATTCTTGCAAAGACTGGGGAAAATTATAACACAATAGAGCTGTAAAATAAGAACTGGAAAGCAAAATAGAAGAGTGTGACCAATCAACCTCCTGTTCCGTCGATGAGGCCGACTTTGCCAAAGTGAACCTTGAACCAGGCCAGCCAATATGAGCAATAAGATTGGCTCTGTGAGACCCAGATTCCCGACAATGTAAAGCTCACACAATTTCTCTTGCCATCTTAAACTTAGAAATGGAAGAACCCAACCCGTGGTTTTCAATAAACTAATACGTGAGGTCTCGAACAGTCCCCAAAAAATAGCAAAGAGTATAAGGATGACTCGGATAACCCAATGTGCATTAAAGCTGCGTAACTGGATATACCCCTCACTTAGAGTCTTAGAATGGAAGTAAATCACATACAGAAGACAGAGGAACCCAAAAAGGATCAGTAAGAGAATAAGACACAGTGTAGTAGTGTCTAATACTACGAAAACAAGCCTCGTATGGGGCATTACCCAAATTCGAAATTCTCTCTTACTTTTCTTTTCTATGTATGTCTGATTCCTAAACCAGACAATGTAACCTCAAAAGGAACACCGAAAACTTCTTCAAAGCCAATAACATTCCATCTCGAAACATCAGTTGGCTGTAAATATATCTCCAGCCCAATGCTTTCACTTCCAAATTAGCTCTGAACCAATTTTTCAATTTGTTTCCACCGAATCACCTCTTTCTCCAAAAGCCAAATTGTTCCTTTCTCCTAAACAAGTCAACCCAGTAGATAAAACCTACAAAGAAGCCTAAGTCATCATCAGAAATACCCGTTTCAAGCCCAAAAGAACGAGCTTTCAGAGCATTACTCTGAAAATTTAGCAAGTACCATAGATGCACGACAAGAGAATGAATCCATAAATGCTAAACCCTGAATGATCTATATCCACTAGATTTTACGGTATGAATAAAATCAACCAAGTTTTCTTTTCCAGAACAAATCCCAGAAATAAAACTCCATGATGCATGAGAACAAGCAGACCCACTGCCCCAAGTCAGCTTTTTCCAACTCTTATAAAACTCCAAATGAAAACCCATCTCAAAAATCAATTATAAATATAAAGTCGAAAGGCTAAAATAGTAAAAGAGAAAAAAGAAGAAAGCAAAGGACACAGAACAGAAGCAGAACAGGACTAACCCAGATCAGCTTGAGTCATTCTTATACAGTTTTTTTATGCAAAACCCATCTTTACAAAATTAAATATCGATTATAAAAAGGAAAGGGAAGTGGAAAAATAATAAGATTAAAAAGGGGAAATGGGCATGAAACACTTAAGAATCGCTTTAGATGATTAAAGGATTATCTTTGTTCTTTTTCTTTTTTGAAATGTAAATTAGAGGATTATATATTGATATCTACCTGTATAAGAGCTGTCTTCAAGCAAACACAGAGGATGTCATCCTGTCCATAGCTGACTTACATCAAGTCTTATCTTCTAGATGCCGCCATTGTTGCCTTTTTTTGGCAAAAAAAATCCCAGAGCCCACAACCACAAATACAGACCACCAACGAAACCCAACTGGACCAAGTTTACCAATACACTCTATTTTGCAATCTACCACTGGGTTTAACACAGTCAATGCAAAACTAACTGAAAGATGATAACTTGGGTCGCCATGAAACAGAACAGGTACCCAAAATCGAAATGGGTTTTGTTCGATCTCATAAGTGAACTCAGAAACTGAAAAAAAGGAATATATTTCTACAGTGGAAGAAAAAATAGGAGTGCAATTTAATTTAATTGAACAAAGGTCATTACTTCTTTTTAAGGAGACTTTTTCAAGTTTCAACCACCAAGTCAAAGAAGCAAGAACGAACGTGGGTTTGCACTGAAATTTATACAGGCTGGATCTAGCTAAGAAAATCAATCAGAAATTAAAGATTTTAATTTCGGATGAAATGACCAAATCCCCTACCCTGTAATCTAAAATTACGCTCTTATCCTTACTAATAGATTTTGGATTTGCGTTGTGCTGTTGCTGTAAGGGCGTAATGTGAAGCGATAAATTGGTAAAGTTCCAACTTTCTCTTGAATTTCCAGAGATTATTTACACACTAATTAAGAACGAAAATAAATTGAATTTCTAGAATGTAATAAATTGGCGTTATACTCTGCATAACTGTCTTTAGAGGCCACGTACCATGGAGCACGTCCTTTGGAAGTGGCAAGATGGATAATTAGGGGGAAATACGTTGGCATTTATTTTTTAGTGAGTGGGCAATTTGGAAATGGAGAGAATAAGATTCCTAATTGAGCACGTATAGTGTGCGCTGCTGGAGCAAATTATATATCTGCTCCCTTGTTCATATGACCTATTTAGGAGGATTTTTGTTCAATTTGAAATTTTGACAACCAGTTAAAGATCTCTAGGTGATTATTGTCAGAAAAGAAAAAAAAATTGTATTTTGAGTTTTCAAACTTTTAGATATGGCCCTTTAAAAAGGGTGCGATTTGTATAGAGTAAACAATCAAAATAAAACCCACCTTCAAATAGTGTCAAGAAGTGTGGTTTCAATACCATCGGAACTCTTTGTGAGCCTTAAAATATATTTTTATCACTAATTATAAAATATAAACCTTCAAAAATAGTGTACATTGAGAAAATCTATGAAAACTAAAAATTCTTGAAAATTGATGATCAAAAAATGCATTACAAAATGCACTATTTCTGAAACTTGAAACTCATTTTTTTTCTCATATTCATGCATCTTGATGTCGAGATGATCAATTTGAGGATATTTGAGCATCAAAACAACCTTTTCTAGTGAAATTTTTGATGTGAGCTCTAATTTAATTGTTTAGATCCCAGCTCTATATAAACTTTTTCCTATATTTTTAAGTGAGTGGGGAATTTGGAAATGGAGGAGAGAATAAGATTTACAACTGAGAACATATACTATGTGCTGAGTGGGGAATTTGGAAATGGAGGAGAGAATAAGATTTACAACTGAGAACATATACTATGTGCTGTAGAGCAAATTATACTTCTACTTCCTTGTTCAGGTGACCTATTTGGGAGGATTTTTTCAATTTTAAAATTTAAAAACCACTTAAGAATCTCTTGGTGATTATTGTCAAAAGACAAAAAATTGCATTTTGAGTTTTAGATCTGCCCCTTTAAAAATTGGGTAGTCTATGTTCAATCTTAAGATATTATTTGTTCTCGTGCATAGATAGTGCAATTTGAAATTATTTTCTTTTATTGAAGTTAGTCTATGAATTGAATAGGTTGCACCTCCAAAATTTGATGTCTTAAAGTTACCTCTAGATTAGGGCAGGCAATAGGACAGCCCAGTTCAACGCCCAAAAAAGTAGGGCATGGAGCACGAATTGAGGCCCTGTGCAAGGCTTAAGTCCAATTTTTATTTGATTTTTTCTTCTTTTGTTGTTGGCCCAACCCAGCCTGGCCCTAACAAGGCTAGGCACAGACCTGGGCCCGGCATATAGGGACAAGGGTCCGGTTAGGGCCACGGCTGGCCCGGGCCATAGCCATCCTTACTCTAGATTGGGTTTTACCCGAGAGAGTAAATGGACAATTTACTCCGGTGGAAGTATGAAATCTTTTGGCATTTTAGAGGTTACCTTGCAAGCAGGGCTGATGTTGCAGTGGAAAACAGATCGAAACCGTTGACACCCAGGTTGTCCGGTTAGATTCGAATCCGACCCACATTTAGATTTTTCAATATTTCGCCAGAGAAATAAATTTCCAAACGTACAATAAAAAAAGGAAAGGGAAGGTTATTAAGGAACGTAAAATGAGCACTTCCATCATTGGAACTTGAAAACAGTCGGTCACTTCGGGGGAAATTAAGGTGTTTTAACTTGCTTTAATTCGAAATTTATAAGGTGCTTAGAACCCGACAATTCAGATTGGAAATCATAAATCTGGAAATATGGTAGGTAGGCGATCTAGGTCCCCCCACCTTGAATTGCCCAATATTGTTTTTGTATCTTTTTCAATTTTGAAACGATCAAGTTCAATCAAACCTGTAGGGTAGATGGGCGACCTAAAACCTAATTCTAGGTTTTAGGACACCGCTTTTAAATATAGAAAAGATTTATATTGAGCCGAGGCTCTAAACAATCAAATTAGAGTGCATCTAAAAAATTTCACTAGTTTTGATGCCTAAATATTCTCAAATTGATCATCTCAACATCAAGATGCATCGACATGAAAAAAAAAAAAAAAAAACTTTTATTATATATATAACAAGAGCTTGATAGTTTCCTATGGAAAGTGCACCATTAAAACTAATAAGGAAAGGTTATTTTGATGTTGGAAAACCTTCAAATTTATTACTATTAAAACTAATAAGGAAAGGTTATTTTGATGTTGGAAAACCTTCAAATTTATTACCTCAACAGATCTGACAAAAATAATAATAATTCAAGTTCTAAAAATAGTACATCTTGTGATATATTATCTCGACAATCTACTTTCAAGACTTTTAAATATTTATCGATCTGCTTGATCCAAACCCGTTTTGGAATTTAAGTTTCATAGTTTGGAGTACAAACATATTTTCAAGCCATCGCCAGTATTTTCCGACTCCGAAATTGTATCTTCCGACAAGATCAGTGGTGGGGCTTCGATTGTTTAAGGTAGGTAAGCACCTTGCGTAAACCACACCCTTATACAAAATCTATTTTTTTTGTAAACAAGGGAACGATAAATATTTGGAGAGAAGGTAAAAGATGAACATTGACCCGTAATTTAATCTTTTTCAAAAATTTAATGGGAAAGCTTGCTATGTGACTCCAACCCACGTATATAATATTTGTGACCTATGATTGTATATAATATATGTGACCCATGATCTCAATCATGATATATGAGTAGATGATTGAGATGGCTTGCATCACAATGTTACAAGACAGTGTTATAAGTTGCCTCTTGAGCATCAGATATAACTCAGAGTATCTTATTTTTAAAATTTCATTTTGAAGCAAAATTTGGGCATGCATAAAACATCAATCGGGCGCACATGATATAAATAATAAAAAAATTTCTTGTGATAAAAAATTACCAAAATAGAGTTCTGACAGTTGATAATCTTATCAAAAAAGAAAAGATATTGCCAAATATTTGCCTAATATGTAAAAACGAGGTTGAATCAGGTGCTCACTTATTTCTTGACTGACTGCACTTTTATCTCTAGAATTTAGTATTGGTTTTTCTCTCAATTAGGTTTGAGCCTAGTGCTTCCTCAAAATGCCTTTGGGATTATTTCTCAACTATTGTTTCATGGTTTGCCTCATACTGGGGAATTAATATGGCAAATTGCAAGTGCGGCAGCGATTTGGGACGTGTGGAAAGAAAGAAATTTGAGAGTTTTTTTGAAGGATTTTCTGAACGTTTGAGAGGGTGGTTGAGAGAATTTTTCATTCGTTATGGCTTTGGTTAGCTGTGGTAAAAGAGGGGTCGAATCTGTCTAAGGTGTATGTAAGTTTGATGGTAGTTCATTTGGAAACCCCGGAATTTGATGGTTTGGTGGAGTTGTGCGAAACTTAGAAGGGAATGTAATTTTCTCTTATGCTGGGCCTTTGGGTGAGTCAATTGCAAATAAGTTTGGAGTTTTTTACTCTTCTTCATGGATTGAAAATTTTTGCATCAAGAAACTTAAGGAGTACTTGTGAGAGAAGGGGACAATTAAGTGGTGTACAGGTGAACAAAAGGTCCCTTGAGAGCTGCAAACAGTTTTGTTGCATGTGCTAGACCTAGCTAGTTCTTTGTTCACATCTTTTTTACATGTCTTTAAGGAAGCCAATGATATGGTTGATGCCTCAGCAAAAGGGGGAGCTCTATTACCGGAGACTATTCCAACTGATGATGTAATTCCATTTCAGTAAACATTAATAAAATTTTATAACAGTTACTAAAAAAAAGAAAACCAAGTAGTAACCGAGACAACCTAAAAGAAAAAGTCAAGAAAGCCAAAGGTGAATCAATATGAACAGTTTTTCTCAAAAAGAGAATAAAAGAACCATACTTTTATCCAAAAAGAAAAAGGAAGCATACAAGATATACAAATGAGATTGTAAATAAACAAATACAAAATGAGAACAAGGAAGAAAAGGTAAAAGTTGTAGATCAGTATAGGTGAAATGCACTGAGAAAATGCAATGTAAGTAGAAATGTCAAAAGAAGAATGAAGTGAAAAATATGTCAACATAACATGGAAGAGAATAGAATGATGTAGAAATATAGTACGATGACCTAATTGTTAAGAAGCAATGCCATTTCTTTCCATGTGTGAATCAAAGGTAAAAACATTCCACAATATATATTTGTGCAAATACCGAAAATGAGCAATTTGCTAAGTCTCAAGAAAAATAGAAATCACAAATCACAAAAAGGGAAAATACCACCAAGCATAAACAAAACACAAGATTTAACGTAGAAAACCCTTCAATATGAAGAGAAAAACTATGAGGTAAATCAAAGAGAAAAATCCACTAAAATCAAATGAGTATTGCAATATGAGTTTCTGCTCAAGTTTGTTTGCCCAAAACTTGAGGCTTACAATCAAATGAGAGAGAATAACAACAAGCACTAACAAGGCCATCTCTTTCCCACCTCAAAAGACCTCAAAGATGGTCTTCCAGTGGCTTGGAGAAGCAACCGGACAGCACACCAGCAGTTCTGGTTTTTCCGCTGAGAGTCGAGCGTTAGAGATAGCAGAAAATGACATCTGCAATGATCTAAAATCGTGACACAAACTTTGCGACAGACCTACACTTTCTTCACTCCAAGAGCCTTCATAAAAACCCTATTTTTTTGTTGGCAAGAGTCTCAAAACCAAAGCCCCAATTAAGACTCCTGTTTTTATTCTCTCTCTAAAAAAACTCTCTCTCTAACCCTTTTTATTTTATTAGTTTCTTCTATGGGGCTGGACCCCACAAGGTAAAGCAC